TGTAATAACTTACCGGTTTCAAGGGTTTCATTGGCCCTGGCGTTAAGTGCGACATTCTTGAACTTGTAGACAACACAACACACCTTTCTTATGTGTAAGGATCAGTGCGCTCAGCCGCAGTGCAGGTGGGCGCTGCGACTGCGAGGAACAACAAAATTGAATTGATTATTAAATTACAAATTATAGACGTTATATACAATAACAATTTCATAAGTCAAAACAAACAAATTATGAGTTATGACAGCCCTGTCAACGTCAACTTTTGTTGATAACACGAGAGATTGATTTCACAAGGTCCATAGATATTTTTAGGTCAGTGCACAAAGTGGTTTCATGCTGTACCTTATCATATTCTAACTATTTTCTATAAATCCATTAATTTTTATATTTTTCTGACAAATGTAACCGCGATAGAGGCTTATCACGAAGCCTGTTTGACTATAATTTGAATCTTTTAAAATATGTATAGATTTGACTTAATAATCCATGATAATGTTAGTCCAGAATATCGGTACAATACATTTGGATCGAACATATCTAAAACTGTCAAGTGACTGATGACAGTTGACAGTTTGACATGAGTCAAATGTTATGACTTTTAGGTTATCTTAAATTCAAATCCGATATTTGTGAAAATTAAAAAATTGACACAGACATTGTTTTTTCAATACCTATAAAATGGCAACAAACTATACAAAATACTCTCAATTAATTAATGCAAGTACAAATTACGCGCGACGAATGAAGCATTTGTCGAACAGGATCTTCGGGGAAGTCGCTACTCCGACGAATTCAAAGTCTATGAAGGTGGTAAAAATTTTCTCGGCACGTCCACTTCACACCAACGAGGAGATTATACATTACTATCCACGTCATGTAGAGACAGGGAAGCTAATGATGAAACTGCGCAGCTACGGCTTGTTTAGAGACGAACATCAAGACTTCAAGGAGGAGATGAAGAGGCTGCGAGAGCTCCGAGGCAAAGTGAAGGTGTGGAGGCGGTGGCAAAAGAAGGAGAATGCAGAGTGACCTCCCTTTGACTAGTTAATGTGAGACCAGTATTGTAGTGATCATCCATTAATCTCATGAGGCTGAAGAGGGTGGGGAGGGTCTTCAAAATCACCAAACTACAGGACAGAAGGATCTAAAATATCAAGTGTGTTTTCTGATAACTTGATTCCTTATATTTTCTAAATTGACACACAGCAGGAAAGGGATAGTGTAAAACCTAACCAAATACCTGGGTACCAGGTACAAAATTGCAAAATAAGATCATATGATTAATGGGTGACCTTTTAGCTAATCCTACCCAAAGTGATAAAAATGTTAAAACCATGTTTATACATATAAATAAAACAAGTTGTTAAAAATTATTTGTTTTAATACAATCTATGCAAGTGCAGAGTCTTCCTTTTCATTAAGACTTCTATAAGAGTGTGAGCTCTTGTCGGTGCCCGTGTAGAAAGTGACAAGCAGGAAGAATGCTATGAAAAATGTCAATGGTAGAACAACTGACACTATAAACATTCTCACTGGGGTTGCAAACATCATGTTCTCTTCACTGGGGGTATAGTCTGCCAGGTGCGTCTCCGGGGAGAACCCATTGTATGTGTCCAGCAGCCATGGCTCCAGCCTGCACAATGCATGGTGTAGCACACATTCAATCAGTGTGAGTCAGTATTTACCGATACCACACAAAAATCATGGACTATTTCAATATTACTGTTACATAAAATGTTTCATTTAAATTGTATATGATGCAAAAAAAAAGGTAAATACTTAGCAAGCAGAGGCAAGCTGACATTGGAGGTGACTTGCAGTGCATCAAATGGGTCCAGGACACAAATGAGGGCAAAGTCCATCTCGGGGTAGTCGGGGTGTAGGAATCGCGCGAGCACTTTTCGGTAATTGTAGTACAACAGATCTGCAAACTTATACTCATTGAAACAATACACCAACTAATTATATTAAAAAATACTATGTAAGTAGCTGATTTCTTTTCAAACAGGTTTAAGTTAAAGTTGTATATTTCCAACCACTGGCTAGATATAAATAAATAAATGTATTTCCTTCTTCCTCCGCCTTCTTCATGTCGGTGTGAAAGGTAAAATAAAGGGCATGCGCGCTGTCCACTGTCCGAACCTTGCTGCACCTCCTCACAGTCCACGTCGTCGGCGTGGTCGCGCACGAGCACTACGGGGTAGAGCGCGCGGTGCGCCACGCAGCTGGCGTGCACCAGCACCCAGTGGCGGCGCCAGAGCGCGCCGGCGCACACGTCGCGGCCGCGGCCCGCCACGCCGGCGCTCATGCACAGCGTCACGCGGTTGCCGTCGCGCACCCCGTACAGGCTGCGCAGCTCCGCCGACGCCATCGCGTTACTAATTAATGTGCTTATCAATATTAATATTAACATTATTCTATCTAAATACTAAATTAATGTTACAACGTAAACGATAAACTTCTTAACTTAATGTCACGTTGACAAGTAACAAATACTTGTTTTTTATATTTTTTACAATATAAAAAAGTCAATAGAACCAGTTAAAGAAACTCTTAATATGTAACCTAACTTCTTGCGGCGGTGCCGAGTCCACGCCGACCTCCCGTCCTGACGGTTTACCTGGCACGCAGTCCTCGTCTTTCTTTCCACTTTCACTACAGCTGCTTCCCATTTATTTGTATTAAGTAAACGATTGTTTAACATCCGTATTCAATATTTCAAGAATATACACTTATCTGCGTTGGGAGCGCGTACGACTTCTGTCTTGTCACTTGTCTTAACATACTTTTTCACTTCACCTTCCACACTTATTTAGGTAGAGGTGGAGAACCTTGTAAAATAAAACATTGGAGAAAATAGCCATCATTTATTTGATTACAAAATCTTTCGTCAGGAAAAAAATTGCTACATAAAATATTTGAACAAGTAATACGCGGACCGGTGCAGTACGCGGCCGGACGCAGCCGGGGGCGAAGCGCCGGCACAACACCGCTAATTAATATTACAAGCCACGGCTCGAGCGCGAGCGCGACACAAATACAAAACATTTATTGACAATAAAACAATAATTCTTAAACATCGATTAGTTTATCAACAGTGCAAAGTCGTAAGCTCAAAATTCCACCCCGGGTTGCTTTTCTTGACTTAATATTTAACGTTGCATTTCCGCAGAGTGAAGTGTGCGGCGAGTGCGGCGAGCACTACCACTACCAGGTACCACTATCGAGCCACACCAATTCATTTGTTTGCTAAAATATATTTTGCAATCACAGTATACATTAACGTGTAAATTGTTTGCAAAATTCATGACAATAACAAAAATCTTTAAATTGCTTTTTTTTTATGAATCACGTTAGTTATAACGTAAAGACGCGGCCGGCAGCAGTCAACGTACTAAGGCTTTGCATAAACTATCTGCCTAAAATAATTGTCGCTTTTTGATGTACAACTTTATTGGTTATACTATCATCATATTTCATGAAAAAAAATTGTCGAAAAAAGAACGGACGAGTTGTCGGCGGTGTTGCGGCACCGCGATACATATAACTAAGAGGAGGTCTTCATCGTGTCTAAATCGAGAGGCGGAAATATTCTCAGGTTCGTTTTATCGAAATAAAACTGAGTGAGAAATGACAAAAGTTGATCACGAGAGGGGGCGGGGGCGGCGCTCGCGCAGGACGCCCTTAAATTCTTTGTAAACTTCGGAGTAACAAAAGGGATGAATCTAGCTGCCTCGCTGCAGGGCGCGCGGCCGACCAACCGCTCAATTACAATTTATTTCGCATACATTGAGTAAATTTTTTATCAATCAAATTTGTAATGTAGTCATAACATTATATACATTAGCGATGTGACGCCGCCGTGTGTATACTGTTGTGAGTGTGGTGAGTGTGGTAAGTGTGGTGAGTGTGTCGGCGCTAGGTGTAGTCGTTGAAGTCGTCTG